TGTGTGAGAGAAGGGAATGTAGATGTGTGTGTGTGTGTGTGTGTGTGCGAGTGTGGGTGCATGTGAACGTATGATTGTGTGCGTGTGGGAGAGAGAGAAAGAGAGATCAACCACAAAGACATGTGAGAGAGAAATATATACATGAATATACAGAGATAGAGAGAGAGAGAGAAAGGGGGTGGGGTGGACTGAGGGTAGATTTCACTGTATGGGTTTTCCATCTGGATTTATCGAAGGCTCATTTGGCGTGTCAAGAAATGCAAAATTACCCTGTGAAACACATCCAGTAGCTATACTGCCACATAAGTCGCATTGACGTGGTATGACTAATATATAATGAGTACTGCTATAGCTTTGTTTAGTCATCCTCTTCCTTGAACAAGCGCCTGGTTTGTGCTTCAAAGAAAGAAGTATTTTCACCTGTATTAATCCTGAAAAAAGAAGAAATTAAGACATTATCTAATAGTATGACATAAGACTTTGAGATTACGCAAACCTCTTATCCTCATTTTTTAGACGTTCTAAATATCTATTCCTATGATTTATTATGATTTTAAAGAGTTTTATAACATGAAGGCCTGCATCAGAAATTTAAAAAACAAAACAATGTTACATGAGATATCTTTATTTCGGCATCCTCTTTATCATTGGCTCATTGAATACAACTGTAACTCAATCAAAAATTTCATGTATATTTGTATACATATGATTTACAAATATATGTTGGGCTCTACTACGTGCGGATTATAAACGCATTCAAAAACACAATAACAAGAATTGAAGAGTTCTGTATTACCATATTAGCCAAAATATATTTTCAAGCATGTTAGGATTAGTTTAGTTCCCTTTGGTTATATAATGTTTTACTTTCATTTCTCTACGTTCTTTAAGTGTGATATGTTATTTGTTTGATGTAACAAAAGACGCTTCTCTCCATTAGGGCAAGGATTCACACGCATTTCGTCTACACGCGTGTGTATGATTAGTGGGGTTTTATGAGCTTCGGTACTTCTAGCACGCGCCCATCGCCACTCGAGCGGCCAGCGGATCGCTGAAATATCTTGCGCCGAGATTGTCCGTGACAAGAATACCAGGTGCACCGTAAAGCGGGGAAGGTCGGAGGTTAGAGAAATATAAAAAAAAAAGATAGAGGCCTTAATTTGTGTCGATTATTTCACGTGTCCAGTCTTTTAGGTTTGAGGAGGGAAATTAATTGCAAGAGACGTGTAAATGGAAGGTTGAACAGATGCGAGTACACGACAGATATGTACCGTACACTGTAAATGGGCATTTACGACTTCAGTTCATAAAATGATTTGAATAATCAAATTTATTTTATAAATTCATCCATTGGACGTAATCCCTTGAGTTAGTAGCAGTTAAACAGGTTGAGTGTGTAAAAACGTAACGAGCAGAAGGACGAACAACATTTCGTACAAATCGAAACAAGGTCCAATGTTTGCAAATCTACGTGTTTGAGAGATAAATCACGTGTACATGCAGTAAGATAAAGCAAACTCTTAGTTGATGTATTTAATAACGATTGAGCATCCCATTTGGCTTTTCATATACAATTCGTTCGTAAAATCATGCGTAACTTTACGAACAGCTTTAAGAAACACCCCCCCCCCCCACCGGAATACGTAATACCTCATTGTAATGTTCGCAATTTTCAAAAGGTGACATACAACAGTATACAAGGCAATTTCAATTGCCTCATGTTGATTTTTGATTTTGCGATCTAATCGTGTGATCAATTTGTTTGCCTCTCAACCTCTCTCTCTCTCTCTCTCTCTCTTATTCTTTCTTTTACATCCGGTCATGCTATGCTAATTCATGCAAATATGCAAATAATTTCATTGTTATATGATTAATAAGCATTCGCACGATCACTAGTGCCTCTTAATTATTAATTTTTCGCTCTTAAGCTTATCTTAAGATAATAATAACAAGAATAATAATTAATTTTTATATAGCGCTTTATACAAATGTCTCTAAGACTTAGTACATCTCAAAATTGGAAAAATTTTACGAGAGTTTTACGCAGTAAATCTTAAAATTTGCAAAAAAACTAAAAACTAAGAACATTCTATAAATAAATCATTTTCATTTTTCTGGCGAATGTAATAATTTTTTAACTGGCGAATGTAATAAGGTTCAAAATATTATGTAGGCCTACTAGGCCTACATTTTTATATGATTTTCATAATAACAAAAATACACCAAGAATGATAAACTCCACACAATGAGATTTGTTTTTATAGATTTAATTCACAAAACACTGCATTTATTTCCATCGATTCATACTGAACTATTATCTGCAAAGTATTTACAAGATCTGTACAAATAAAGTACTTGACAGTATGATACAATAGTGACTTTGAAACAAGTACAATATAGTACTGTACCTTTGGGAAAGATTTGTACATAGTTGTGTCATTACAAAATACTTTTACATGTACTACATCATTTTGTTTACATACTTAGTATTGGCCAGTATTAAAATGGCTTTCCACTTTAATTTAACAACAAATTTAAAACGATGGCTAATTGAAATCTGAAAATGTCACATTTGATAAAGGAAATACATGTATATCGAAATACAATCTTCGTAGGTAGTCCAATTTTTGTATAATTTCACAGGAAATTACAAGTAGAGCCCGGGAAAGAACTGAGTCTATACATAACGCTTTAAAAACAACGTTTTTGTTGCAATTTAGGCTATGAAGTCACAGTTATCTTTCTCATTACAAGTAATAGTTTCGGCAAAGTTAGTCTTGCCGTAACTATGATTTTAAAGCACGTGACATACAAATATCCATTTTCATGAACTTTTCATAACTTGTAGACAGTTTCAAACACAACTAAAGGTGTTTAATCCTTCCTTTTAAAGTCTAAAGTTCGTTGACCATATAATCATTCACATGTGAACAGCGTACTGCATTCAAATATTTCATAACACATTCTTGTAAAGAGAAGAATCTGAAATAAGACTACTAAACACATAACGTACTAAAATGACGTAACTTCACGGAATAATTATCAATTTGAAAAGAAAGAATACATTAGAATCGGTATCGAGTATTCAAGTTGAAATCTATAATATTTGGAGGTATCTTTGCAAACTCGAAGCCTATACAAGGAACCTGGAGGCCGATGCAATGGGACGCGATATTCATAGATGTATACACAAATTATAATCTACCCTGTAACCTAGTTCCGAATTCGTCACATCTCTGCCACGAAAATGTGGTTTATGAATATATACTTCACTAGATCTTGACCAGATATAGACCAAAATGATTGAAACAGCGTTTTACCAATTCATATGCAGATTGGCGGTCTCGATATAAAGTTGTAGGCCTATAATTATAAGAGTTAAATATTGTGATATTAAACGGCTAAATATCAAGAAAGAATCCTGTGAAAGATTTTATTTTATTTCATTTATTAATTTCTGCATCATCTTTTTGAAAGTGCATTTTAATGAAAATACTTGTAGTCATAAATCTGTCACAAGAAATACAAAAACCTACTCGGAATAGAAATATAAAAATCTTGTGACAGATATATAAGAACGTTGATTTATAGTTTAGATACAACATTATCCCGTCATTGGTACCCATGTATCCGAGCATACTACAGTGTATTTCAATTTTGAACGATGTAAACATGTAAAATAGGTAGTACTGTTAATGAAATAAAAAATAGGGTAAGCCTTATAATGTTATTGCATGCATTAAGTTGTCTGCAAATAAAATAACTCATTTAGGGAACAAAATACTCCTCAATAGATTGGCGCTACTGTATGTTGCTCATACAAAACGAAAACAAAACAAAAAAATGAAAACAAATCTAAAAAAGGGAAATTAAAATCGCGAAACAGTTCTTTTCTTGAGGTACATGAATACAAAAATGAAATCGATAGGTGTTAATTTCATGTGAAGATTTCCTTTGAAAATACGCTTCGTCTAGCTTTGTAGTTGTCATGTTAAATCATATGACAATCTTCGAATAATATCGCTTTTAGTGAGCTAGAACAAAACATCTAATAATCTATACATTACCATCCTAAAACATAATTCTACCGGATTTATTTACGTCATAGTACATCATAGAAATTTCCCTAAGCGGAGCAACATGTAGAACTATATCAAGATCAAATTTTGCTCTTCACTCTTCATTGCAAGAATAAAGTGGAACCGCAATTTTTATCTATATTCTACAATACTGCATATAAACCATTTCTTCAATAATGCATCATATTTTGCTTAAAGTCTCTCGTCTTTACAAAATATTCACAAAACTATATGTTACAATGATAAGGAAAACATTCTATACAACCAATTTACAAGCATATTTTGCTGCGAACATTTTAACACATTAATAATCTTTATTATTGTCAATGGCAGCGAAATTATCCGGTTGACGGTAAGCATACACCAATGCTTAATCGAAGTTTTAAAGACCCACAGAATAAAGAAACATTTGAATATATACCCAATAAAAATGGACGATTTCCCCTCCCACAATGCAAAGCGCGCATGATGACTTCCAGGATGCAGAGATGTCACGTCACAGGTCAAAAGAGCTCAGTTTGTTATGTTGCACCATACTCAGTAGGCTTCATGTATTCAAACGTTGATAAGAGATTCAAACAGTTCTCATTTACCATGATTCTTCACACCTATCATAATAACTGACGACGTCATGAGATTTATGTAATAGTTGAAATCAGATGCTTGGTAACAGCGAATCTTCAAGTTGTCATTGTATTTCTATAATTGTGAACATTTAGTTCTTCGCGGTTTCGTCAGATAAAGAAAAGAAACGATGAAAACAAAAGTCATAACCAAATACAAACGTTCGTTGGTGCAAATGCTGAACACATAACTTTAAAGACAACTGTGCATCGATGTTGTAATGTAGTCGCTAATATAACCCCAAACAAATTCTTCCCCCCCCTTATTACCCCCCCCCCCTTGTTTAAAAAAAGAATTGGCCTCCAAATAAAAAGCACATCAGTTCGTTGAAATCATGAGTCATGAGATGTGTTGAGCCTGTGATATGGGAGGCATCCATCTTTGTGATCTTAGCTCTCTATAAACCTGTAGTGGTCTTCATATATTATTTGCAGCAGATGGATTAACGAGTTGGTCGAGCCTGTGATTTAGGGAGCATATACCCAAGAAGCATTCATCCGTTTTCCCATACTAGCCTATGCTGGAGTCATGAATTTAGTTGAGCCTGAGATGTGGGAAGGATCTACCCAAGAAGCATACATCAGTTTTCCGATAGCATTTGCTAGAGTCATGAGTTTAGTTGAGCCCGTGATGTTGGAGGCATCCACCCTAAAACCATGCAGCCGCTTTTCCACAGTCTTTGCTGGAGTCATGAGGTGATAGAGAATTTATTATGTGGGAAGGATCCATCTTATCTCATCATGTGTGTGGGATGCCGGTGGGCCATCATAGCTTCCATGTCCAACGGTCGCATGTGCTATAGGACGAAAAAGAAAATAGAAAGGGAGATAGAAAGATGAATTATTACTTGTTCAGTCTCAACTCATTTTAACAGTCATATCTCACGATTATACTTACCTGCTTATGAAAGAAAATAATTTCTTTACGTATAGGCCTACTGTACAACTAGAATTCATCAAATCAATTTCTTTGCGGCTATATGATCATGATAAAGCCTGCAAAGCTACGTATATTTGTAAAAACAGGCTACCAAGGAAATGAACATAATAATGGAAAGTGCAAAATGTACAAACAATCACATTTAATCGAATACTAAAAGGAGTGAAAATGTGGAATTTACATCCATGCATTCAAGACGTAATGATAATTTCAGTAAAATACGGAACGTTTTACAAGACACCGTCACAATTTTGTAAATAGCAAAAACGAAACTGTTCACTATTACTTTAAAAGTCAAAAGGTTTTTCTCATAACTTTGATATTCATCCTCAAAAAGTAAGTAAATCTAGGTTAATGGCATTCCGAAAGTAAAATGTCAACAGTGTCCCGCGATCAAGGTCCATTTCTCATGTTTTAGGGAAATGGCGTTAGTGATTGTTGTTTCCTAAATGCAATGTCGAGTTCTGGGAAAGGTAAATAACATACTTTAAGCGACTTCGGGCAAATTAAAAATAACATGTCACATCTTTATAAGGATTCACTCTTCCATGTGAACTGCGATGTTCCTTCCTCATCCTTCGCTTTAAATGGGGGGGGGGGGGGGGGAGTCGGCCAATATTCACAGAATATCACTAAATTAGGTCAAATCATGTTTAGTGTAAAGCCTTTAATACAAACATGCAGCTAAAAACGAAGGGGGGACAGGGCCTAAGATTATTTTTAAAATCTTATAACTTATGCACAATCTAGTAGCCGACAAAGTCGGAAAATCCCCTCTAGCGACACCTTGTATTAGAAATACCAACCAACCAAAAATCCCTAACCTTTCAAAAACTTCTCGAACAACATGCCCAGTCATCTTCTAGACAGATTTCTTAAAAATTTGTTTTAATGAAACAATTCCCTCTCAAAACTAAACACAATGGAGTTCTTGGTCATATCAGACTTATTTTAAAAAGTAGCCTCTACAGGCCAGGAGAAGCTAGATGAACGTTGCAAAATGCAGCAACAATATTTCTAGACGCATGCATAAGCCTCGAAGGAAGAAAAAAACACTCGGAAAACTATGACAAAAAGAATTCATTGACCCCAAATGAAATTTTTTCAAAATGTATCGATGGACATGACCTTTTGTGGATTCCCAAACTCATAACTACGCTGATAATATTATGTTGGGTAAAAAATAAAGAATTTATCAAACAGCAAATTAGCAACACTCCTCTTACAAATGACCTGCTAGGAAACAAAAATATTGGCACGTGTAAGTTCAAAGATTTTTGTTTCACTTTTGTTTCGTTCGTCTAACCCATGAAACCGCGGACATACATTAGTAAAAAAAAAAAATTAAAAAAAAGAAGGAAAAAAAAAAAGAAGATAATATCTCCTCAGACTATCAACAAATCTGTGTCGCCTAGCCCTTCCTGGTTGACCTTTCTGACTGCACTTTTCGTGGTCTTGTGTCTATGGTGTCTGGTGGCGCTGACCTGAGGTCAGCTGGGGTCATCGGTTTGATCCAAGGTCTACTTCCGATCACGTGGGCACACGAAGCGTTGTTACAGGACGCTGAGAGTGAGACAAGGGATTGTGCGAGTAAAATCCACGTTGAGACCAAGGAGCTTAGCTATAACTCCAAACTCGACAGGAGTTTTGATGTGGCAGGTCTGGATACGGCATATGTCTAGTTCAACCTGCACTGACCATGCATGGGTGTTTGGAAAACGAAGACCGAAGAACGAAGACTGGGGACCATGTGCGCGCACGTACGTGCGTCAAGGAGATGATCCCCGGTCTTCGATCTTCGTTTTCCAAAATAACCCAGGGTGTTTTGGAAAACGAAGACAGAAGACCGGGGACCCATGTACTATGCGTGCATGCACTTGTACGTGTAGTGCACCCACGTGAGAGAGAGAAAGAGAGAGAGAGAGAGAGAGAGAGAGATAGCAAGAGACGATCCCATGCACTTGTACGTGTAGTGCACCCACGTGAGGAGAGAGAGAGAGAGAGAGAGAGATAGGAAGAGACGATCCCCGGTCTTCGATCTTCGCTTTCCAAAATACCCCAGGGTGTTTTGGAAAACGAAGACAGAAGACCGGGGACCCATGTACTATGCGTGCATGCACTTATACGTGTAGTGCACCCACGTGAGGAGAGAGAGAGAGAGAGAGAGAGAGATAGGAAGAGACGATCCCCGGTCTTCGATCTTCGCTTTCCAAAATACCCCAGGGTGTTTTGGAAAACGAAGACAGAAGACCGGGGACCCATGTATTATTTGTGTTCGGCGTTAATAATAATTACAATACTACTGAAACACTGTCAGAATGATAAAAACGATGATGAAAAAAACAAAACAACAATGATAATAATAATAATTATAATATAATAATAATAATAATAATAATAATAATAATAATAATAATAATAATAGTAATGATAATACATACTAATAATGATAAAAGATGATGATAATAATGATAAAAATAATAACATTAATAATAAGCATAATAGGCCTATGCAAAGAAAAAACTACAGAGAAAAAGTGTATATAATGGCTACCCAGGGGAAACAAAAAATGGCCTTTACAGACAGGTGGCCCTTGTTACTTTTGTAAATAGTAGGGTACCAAAAATAGAGATGAGATGAGTCTGTAAAACAGGAGGAGACCTGTGATGGTTAACCTCGTGACACGGACTGCCTATTAATAAAAAGTAATAAGAACTATAAAACATAATTGAATATTCGTATGCAAACAAACAAAGTCACATAATCTAAACACAAACACACTTCTATAGTTATAGTTCCTAACCTACTAATATATAGGTTAACCTCCCAAACTTAGCCATTAGATGAAATAGCAAACCTGGCTGCGGCCAGATCAAGAAGAGAGGAGAAGTAACGATCCCCGGTCTTCGATCTTCGTTTTCCAAAATACCCCAGGGTGTTTTGGAAAACGAAGACCGAAGACCGGGGACCCATGTACTATGCGTGTTCGGCGTTAATAATAATTACAATAATACTGGAAAACTGTCAGAATGATGAAAACGATGATGACAAAACAACAACACTGATAATAATAATAATAGTAATAATAGGCCTAATAATAACAATAATAATAATAATAATAATAATAATAATAATAATAATGATAATATAATAATGGTTATGATAATAATGATAATAATAATGATAACAATATTAATAACAAGCATAAGAACTTATGCAATGGAAATGACAGTGAAAAATTTCAACAATGGCTAGCCAAGAAAAAACGTGAACTAAAATGACTTTGATAGACAGGTGGCTGCTACAGACAGGTTCTTAAACACCTAATTTATATCCATGGGAACCAATTTTTTTTTTTCTTCATATTTTTCCCTCCACATTTTATTGATTTTCATTTGAAACACATACAAAAATATATATTCAAGGTAATTTACATAATAACATAAATAAAATAAAATTGGCTTTTCAAGATACAAGTATTGATGAACTGTTGAGTTAACACAAAATAACAAATCAATAATTCATTTCTAACACTCATGGAAAGAAAAACAAATACAGAAAAAATATCATTTTAAGTAAACAAATTCCTGAATTGAAACCATTTTCTTGTGAATTTATTATTTCTACAATTCGAATTTGCAATATACTTTTCGTTCTTGAAGTAATTTATAATCGAAACTCTAATATTATCAAAGTCGGGCAATTGTTTCTTTATTTTGCAAGTATACACCATCTGTCGCACCACAATCAGTATACAATTCAATGCATAATTATTTGAACCTTTTAAACCAAATAATTTATCTTGTAATGAAAATGTTAATTTATTTCCGGTTCCAGTATTAATCCAGTGTTCTAACTTACCCCAAATATGTTTAACATGCGTACAGTCACATAGCAGATGTATAACTGTTTCAATCTGTTCATTACAAAATGTACATTCTTTTCTTGGGACTAAATTCATTTTAAACAGTAGATTTTTAGTGGCCACTATAGATACATGTAGGTCTAAGAGAGCTAAGACAGGTATGACTGTATTTTCATCATTAATAATCGCATATGTGCACCAGGCCAAATCGAGGAGAGAGGAAGAGACGATCCCCGGTCTTCGATCTTCGTTTTCCAACATACCCCAGGGTGTTTTGGAAAACGAAGACCGAAGACCGGGGATCTTACAACAAAGGTTGCATTTGCCTTTATCATGTATTTCCAGCCCGGAGTCGGGGTCTCAGATTTGGCTTGGAAGGGGGTGTGCCGCTCAAGCCTCGAAACCCTACCCATTTCTGAGGGTCATTTGGGGGAATTTTACTCGAAATAAAGGCCCATTTTTCACAATTTTCGGGTGGTTGCTACCACCCGAACATGCAACCACTCCAACATTTTTGAAATTTTGAAGAAAAAAACAGACCCATGTTTAGGGATTTTTTTGGTTTAAAATGGGTCCAATAGAGCGGCACACCCCCGTATGTCTTAATATGTGAGACCCCCTCCCACTGGATTTCCATATTCCAACTACCTATAATCGTATACTTCCAGACCCACTTTCTTAATCAGTTTAAGATATTAATATTTCTTGTTTAATCATTCTAATATAACTTCAGTTATCACTACTGTGTCAAGAATGTTAAAAAAATTACTTGTATTGTGCATTTCGTTCCAATGTGATCACATCCTTCCTCTCTTCACACATGACTGCACACAACCAGCAATAAGTAAAATCAATCACTTGCCTTGTAAAATGTAATAATGAACTCTTTTATTGCTTTGTTATGACTGCTTAATTAGACACACAACAACACTGTATATAAACAAGATAATAACTCAGGTCGGTTGTTCTTTCTCTGATCAACAAGAAATAAT